AGTTTTCACAAAACCTTAATATGCATTTGGTCATTCTTTTTTTGCATTCATACTCTTAGAATCGGGCCTAAAATTAATGAAGTATGACGAAAAATGCTCCAATAAAAAAAGTGAGTTCTTTAATTTCCAGCCAAAATTGCTCCATTTATCTTTGGATTAATCAAAAATGGGTCACAATTCTCCATTTTCACTTTGGCGTTACCTTGGAAACAGGTGACAGGCGCAGATATTTGCCAACTGGATATTTAGGTAAAGTATTTTTAAAATCTGTAACCTGTTGTGGACGTTCTTTTTGCTCGATGTGTTTTGGTGTTTCGGGGGGTTTATGGATATGGCCCACATGGCCTTCTCCGTGAAAACTAATATCAAAAAGTCACGCTTTTTGGTAAATACTTTGAAGAAATATCTCATTTTAAAGGTTTTTCATATACACTATGAAAAGAATCTACGTTTATGAAAAAAAGCTTGAAAACAATGAAAATCCTGAAAATTTCGCCGACATTTGAAGAACGATCTAAACCCATTTGTAATCCAATACCCGAAATATCTACAAGGAAATTTGACGAAAGGAAAGTTCTTTTAATATAAAGTAAATGGTATGGTTGCGATTTCATCTGACCACTATACTTACATTTTTTGGGGAAATTTACAGCAATTTTTAATGTTTTCGAAAGTGGAGGCTTCATTTACAAAATTGGTATTTCTAAACAAACACTTAGCATTTTTTACATTTCTTTTAATTTATAAATTCACTTAAGTTTGTTCATTATTATTTCGAAGTTTTCGTGCATGCGTAAATGCCGGTTTGCGAGTGTTTTTCAATTCCTCGCACATTTCGACATTCTGCACGAGTTAGGACTCAAAATGTATATAGCAGCAGAAATTGTACTTTGATTGATAAAAGATCACCTATCTGTTATGGAATTCACTTGTCCCATTCTGCATTGATGCTCACCTTCTAGTCCAGTCAGCAATGGCACAGCGGCTAGTACTACTGATAGGCGAAAATTGCCGACAAAAAATAGGGGGACTGGAACGGCCATCTTGGGCTTATTAGCCGTCATGAGCACAACGTACATTCGCATGAAATGAAAACTGAAATGCTGAAATATATATATATTTTCCGTTACGAAGGATTACTTCCACGGGACGATAAAATTAATTATCGTGCAACATAATCCCAAGATATCGCAGTCACACCATAATGCCGGCTTTTGCATGATCTGTCTTCCGACTGCCTGGAAAAAATCACACTCCATGAAAAGATGACAACTTCAGTGGTAAGGGGTCTTCTCATCGGTCTTTTATGCCCGGAAAAATGCAAATATATTTGATAGAAAGTGTGAGCAACAATATCCTTTTTGATGAAGAGGTCATTTACATAATTGTAAGCGACTACTTACTTGTTCCAAGTAATACAATCACATTTGGTGATGTCAGCTAACAGGAACCAGCAGGTGTAACTGCACAAAAAGAGCAGACAGTGAAAAAATTCCTAAGGCGTGGCTCAGAATTAAAAAGATGAAATGCCATTTGTGGTTTAGGAGAAAAACTGCCGCTCGAAGTCAGTTTCGGTTTTAAGACAACTTTCCCAATTTCCTACAGTTGCACTCGCGCTTAGGGTTACTGATGGGAATGTCTCTAACACCACGATGAGTCATCGCACCCGAGCCATGGTTATCGATCTCTCGTCAGATCTGATTGGTCCATATCCGACATTTTACCATCAAGCGGATCAATAAATATATGCAGTCTTTCTGTGAGAAGTACTTGCTAATTGTTAATACAGTTCTCCGCGCGGTCCACTGCCTTCTCTTCCTCTCGTGTGCTCGCTTTGGGGACGACGGTCGGGAAAGGTCACCGTCCGTGTTACTTAGAGGTACCAGGCGCGGGTCATAACACAATGCAT